CACACACACACACACACACACACACACACACACACACACACACACACACACACACACACACACACACTCAATCAACCAATCAATCAATCAATCCATCAATCGATTTGATTGATGGATTGATTGATTGATTGGTTGATTGATTGAGTGTGTGTGTGTGTGTGTGTGTGTGTGTGTGTGTGTGTGTGTGTGTGTGTGTGTGTGGTCATATTTGTTAAACATTTGAAAAAGCATGACTGTACCAGACTCTTTCGCCTGACTTTCACCGACTCGTCAGGAGGTTGAACGCCGACAGTTTGTGTGTGTGTGTGTGCTGTGTGTCCATTCAACGTGCAACGAAAAAGTTTCAACTCTGTTGTACCCGTTGAATAGCCCTCGAGCCCCAGTTGAATCCACGTTGAATAGTACAACGGGCCCTCCCCGTTGAATACAAGTCAACGGGGAGAGTGCATCGGGCCTCGGACACATCGCTGAGTGCACGTGGAGCCAAAAAAAAAAATCATCCCGTTGAATCCCGTTGAATCCCGTTGAATTCCCGTTGAATCCCGTTGAATTCGAGTTGAATCCCGTCAATTTTATTTTTTTTTATTATTATTATTATTTTTTTTTGAAACCTCTAACCACGAAGTCCAGGGGTCTGGTCCCACCTACCGTTGTTGAGCTGTCTCTTATACACATCTAGATGTTTTTTGTCCCGCGGCCATGTCCACCCCGGAGGTCGCGACAGGGCAAAACGGCTTGCAAACTCCTAATTTTTTAACTCATGGACTGCAGGTCCGGTTTGCAAGGACACTCGGCATGACGACGACGACGAGCTCACTTCGACGGGTTCTTTGACCACATTCGCGAGGACGGCATCAGATACCACAATGTGATACTAGGCGACGGTGGTTTCTACGGGTGCAGGGGGTTTGGGGGGAACGACTTCATACCGGTGTGCAATGCTGACATGACTTGGTTGCGAAGCAAATCGCAAATCTGGAAGCATGTCACACAAGGAAAGAAGGTGGGGTCATGGGAGAAGATGCACGTCGACCACGAGTTGCGCCGCAACTATTGCAAGGTCGTGTACGACGGAAACCTGTTCAAGGCTGAGCGACACTTCACGCGCCTAAGAGGTGCAAGCATGCACTGATGTCAGCGTTGGCGCGAACTTGGCGGATATTTGGAGCAATACGGATTACGAATGCGACGAACGACACAAACATGCTATACGGCAGTATATGGAGGAGCAGTGTCTAGTCGACGCTAGATCTTTGTTACAGCTGGCACGCATGCGAGGCAGGCAGGTGGAGGGGGGCGTGCACGCCGGCAAGAGAATATTATGGAGGACTCGGTTGTGGACGAGGTGAAGACATATCTATAGTAGCAGGAGAGGTGAGAGGCTGATGCTAGGTGAGGGACTGCGGAGGTGGGAGGGGAGGGTGGTTCGAGTCCCCCATCTCCGCATTTGAGGGGGGAGGAGGTCGTGGTGACTGCGTGTGCCACAGGAGGTGCATGCCGCGATGTTGAGGAGAGAGAGAGAGGTAAGAGGAAAGACGATGTTCCTGCGTAGGGGCGCAAGAGACCCAAACAGACGATCATCGACGAGGTGTACGACGGCGACGCTCAACAACACGCGAGGAACACATTTTTGCAGTAGGTGTATGACTCGGGGATTGCGTTTCGTGCTTTCCGAAGGAAGTCTTTGAGGAGACACCACAAGGCGGTGGCAGAGTTGCCTCGTGGAAGACGGTTCGTGTATCCCACTTTCAAGGAGATTGAGGGAAGCTGGGTTACATCTCAATGAGATGCAGTCGCCGCCATGCTCATGCATGTCCGCGTATCGTTCAAGGCGATTGGGCCCACCATCTTGACAGATGGTAGGAGGTCTAGAGCTTTGAGGCCAATTATTAACTTCCTTGTTGTTGGCAAGGATGACGCGCTCCTGTACGCCATAGTGTGTCGAAACGGATCAGTTCCTCAGACGACGGAGATAGTCATGAGGAGATGGAAGACGATTTTTAGGTCCTTCCCTCCGAATGACGTGTTGACAATCTGCACGGACTCTGCGACCAACTACACGTCGGCCGCAAAGCTCCTTGCGAAGGACGCTAACCTGGAGTTGCGTCATATCACGTGGCTCCTGTGCTCCACCCACATCTGCAACTTGATATTGTCAGACGTAGGGACCCGGAAAGGCTGCATTGCCTCAGTCATTCTACGTGGAAGGACCTTCGTGCGGTTTATCAAGATGCATGGCGTTGCTCTGCACCCTTTTAGGCGGAAGAGCAAGCGCATATTTCTTATTGAGCCAGTGGAGACGCGATTTACGTCCGTTTTTTTTATGCTCCTTTGCCTAAAGGAGCGTAGAGACGCCTTCGAGTCGATGTTGCACGCGGATGCTTGGGACAACATCCCCTGGGAGTCTCGGTTGGTCGAGCAGGTAGTATGGGTGCGGCAGATCATCTGTGACGCAAAGTTTTGACGAGATGTGGACTAGGTCATTCTGGTCATAACCTCCATCCACCAGTTGCTGAGGAGGTTGGACAAGGGCGGGATGGTTATGTCGCTGGTTTACTCTTGGAGTCGGCTTGTGGTCACTGAGTTGAGAGCCTTACAGGATGGAGTTGTGGTCCTCTCCGAGATACTCGAGGATTGTATCGATGAGGGTCTCGCCCGTCGCCAACATATGTTGGAGCCGGCGCACGCCGCGACGCATATCCTTAACCCTCGGAGGTGTTCTCCTCGATACTACGACGCGAGGGTGAGGAGTGCGGAGTACTTGGAGGTCGTGCAGGAGTGCGACAACTTCTTCCTTGCCCAGACGGGGGGTGATCGGGTAGACGCTCTCTACTTGCGGGTGCGTGAGCAGATGGGACTGTTTCACTCACGTATGGGTCATTTGACGATCGACTCTGCGATGAGGGACGCGGAGGCGCAGGCATGCGTTGGGGATGACGAGACACCGAGATGTGCATCTTGGTGGCAGGATCACGGAGGCGCATACCCCGACCTCCAGGAGATTGCAGCGCCTCTGCTGCGCATGTGGACGTCCGCCTCTCCTGCTGAAACATGCAGTTCGGAAAAACTGGACCGAAACAAAAGTTCATTTTGCCAAATTTTGCGATACGTTTTTCGATAAACTAGTTTTGAGGACAACATTTATATCTCAGGTTTATGGGTCACAACAAGACAAGTAAAAAACAGGTTTTTAAGAAAACGCACTTAACCCTGCGATCAATGTGTCACGACAACATACTAAAAACCAAGTTTTTTTCACATTGAAGAAATTCACTAAAGTCATGTCAATAATATAATAGTTTTGCAGAAAATTTGAGGTCAGTCACAAGCACAGTTAAGGCAAAAAACCAATTTCTAATTGTCATCATCAACTCTGTGTTCACAAAAACAGGCAAAAAAAATTTCATTGCATGTACGAAGTGCAACAACCATCTCATTGTAAGTCCCAGCAGTAATGCAGAAAGCCCACAACTATCCAACCATACCCACGAGGAGCAAGTGGGCAGGTTCCCATGTACTTGGCAACAGTGGTGGAAGAAGCTCAAACATTGCAACTATAGAGAATATGAGTCCCACAAAAGCACCAAAGCAACAAGGCAAATCTCAAACATTGCAAATGCCTAATATCCCAAGCGAGCCTATAGACAATATGAAGCCCACAAAAACACCAAAGCAACAAGGTCACAGCCAAGTCAACAAACCTATGTGGGCCGCGTAGAGGGTCCCTATCAACTCATGCATGCTTGAAGCCTCAGGCGTATCGCCAACCCTTCGCCATTATGCGGCTCTGGTTGTCCTTCTCCTTCGTGGCGCTCTCCACAAAGCCTCTCTATGCCAACCTTGCCCTAATTCCCCTCACACAACGCTGATCGCTCTCAACAACCAGCACATTTCGCTTGCACAATAGTGTTGCAATGACTCCACTCCCCGATCTAGAAAAAACATTCACTATGTATGAGTCATTCGGGTCAGAGAACTTCTTGATGAACCACTCATACAAAGAGATGGGTTTCTGGTAGGGACACAAAATCTCATTGTCTGCAGCAAAAGTGTACTTCCTCACCACTGCATTGTGTCTCCAGCAGGTCATCCTCGTGCAAGAGTCGCTGAACTGAAACTGAATGGGCTCCCTGGGGCCTCTCTCGCTGTAGAAACCAATAACACAATGCTGCCAGCAGTTAGTGAGCTTGAGACCTGCACGAGTACTAATGTTGGGAGCAACCCAAATGCCCACCTCCACCCCACAATTGCAAGCATCTAAAAATGCAGATTTCACGTCAGTGAGCATGTCAGAGGAGCAGAAACCAGCAATGGCCCAATATGGTGCACATGTGATCTCCTTGAAGCTCACAATGCTGCCCTCTATCTGAGGCCTACTGAAGAGCTCCTCATCATCCACAGAGCCCTTTGCGTTGTAGCCACATGGGAAGTCCATAATGCACAAGGTGAAGGTGAGTTTGCCCTCCATTTTCTCTAGTAGTTGGAGCATGTCGCAGTGCGCCACCTTCACGGTTCCGTTGTAGCCCTTCCCCTTAAAAGCAGTCCAATTTGTAAGAAGGCCCTCATGATCTTGTGTTGCTGTTGTCTGCTCCTCTTGCTGTGAATGTTGCAGCTTGTGCCTGTACTTGAGGGTCTTGGCAATGTAGAGTTGCATAGCAAGAGGAGTTTCCTTGACATTCCTCTCATACAACTTATAGTATTGAGACAACATAGCCTCCTGTGTATGCACAAGGAACTCCTCCTTGGTAGCCTCCCAACTGTCTGCCCCTACCCCTTCCACGAATGCAGTAGTTGTCCTCTGACGAACCTTACGAAGCGTGAACTTGTGGTTCATCTCGTCAAGCGACTGGACCCCGCTCTTAACTTCTGTGAGGACAGGGACCACCAGAGCATTATCGAGCGCAACCATCCCCAGCAGAGGCTTGTAAGGCATATCTACAGCCTACAGGCTCACTCACTATCTCATTCTTTTCAGAAACGTACATGAGAGGATTGAGAACCATGAGAGAAAGGCGCTCCTTACATCTTTCTTATCTTTTTCACTGGCCTTCCACCCTTTTTCCCTTTCCCTGTGTCGCTGGCAGATGCACTCGACTCAGCAACCTCAAGAGACTTTACCTTCTTACAACCCACGCCCTTCTTAGTCTTCACATCTTTGATCTTTGCCTCCTCCCACAAAGTGAAAATGTCAGATAGCAATCCACAAACCTCTGGCCTTCTCATGCAAATCTGAAGATGAGGATCCCAGGGACCAATCTGGTTCCATGAAAAAGTCGGGATACCAAGCGCCTCCAAACATGCCTTTTTGGCCTCATTCGATTTCTTATATCCCATCCTTTCGAAAACGTCCCTCAAGCAGCCTATGTATCACCCGCGGTCATGACCACGGGCTTTTTTGCCGCATGTGGTCGTGACCCCGCCCGTGGCGGTCGACCCCCGCAGCCGACTGCGGGCATGAAACCCGGGGATTTAAAAAAAATAAAAATAAAAGGCAAAATATATATATATATATGGGGTTGTAGGGTTTGAAATTCCCTACATCCCCATTTTTTTTTTTGGATTTTGATTGTTTTTGTTATTTTTAAAAAATAGAAAAAAAACAAGTATTAAAATCAAAAGAAACACCATAAAAAAAGGGATTTTTTTTTTTTCCCCATTTTTTCCATTTTTTTCTGATTGTTGGTGTGTGTGTGTGTGTGTGTATGTGTGTGTGTGTGTGTGTGTGTGTGTGTGTGTGCGTGAGAGAGAGAGAGAGAGAGAACAGGTACACACACACACACACACACACACACACACAC